CTCTCTCTCTCTCTCTCTCTCTCTCTCTCTCTCTCTCTCTCTCTCTCGTACTGTAGAAAAACTGTCTGTCCCTGGGTGGAAACCTTGCATCCGTCCACAGCTTCCTGGAGTACCATGAGATTCAGTGGATCATCGTGAGCAGCAGTCATGAGTCTAAATCAACCTGGATTGGAGGCTCTGATGCACAAGAGGTATTTATTTCGTCATTGCCCCATTTGCAAATATTGCTCACAAAATACATATAATATCCATTATATGTTATTATAATTCATTCCATATGTGTTGATTATGTATTATATATGAAACGTTACTCAAACTTTACCATATTATATGAACAGGTATAATATTACTTTCTCTCTCTTTTGCTCCGCTCCACTCCAGTTCCATGGCCATTTCTTAAAAGTGCTCTTTCTATTACTATTTGTATTATTTGTATTTTATATACTTTATAATTGTATTATATTTTCTGCAACATGGATAACATGGATTGCTCCTCCGGGGACCAATTAGCTTATCTTAAGTTACTTTCTTAAGTTACTTAAATCAAATAACTTGAACACTTTTATTTCTTGTAATACTCGATTCTATTCTTTCTTCCAGGACAAGAAATGGTTCTGGAGTGACGGTACTCTTTTCAGCTACTCAAACTGGTGTGCTGGAGAGCCTAACAACCAGAACGGCAAGCAGCATTGTCTGCAGATGAATTATGGAGGTAAAACAACACAGCGCTTGTTGTAGGAGTGATACTAGTGATAAGAGGAGAGTGAACTGCATGTATTTATGTTCTGGTAACCGCTCATCACATCGACTTCACACTCGTTGGCTGTGTTGTTTAGCACTCAAAGAAGTTTTGAGTGTGAAGTTGTTTAGATGAGCAGCTCTCTAACAGACTGTATCTCAAGGACCTCTGGTGTTACATTGTTCACCTTTTGACAATGATTTGATTTGCATTAGTGACTCTAGTGTTAGCTGACTTCATCCATCAATAATTATTGGTCACATGAAACAGTTTGAGTAACATTCACTGACTCTCCTTTTTGTGTTGTACTTGCAGCTGGGAAGTGCTGGGACGACGTAGAGTGCAGCTATAAAATACCGTCTGTGTGTGTCAAGAGAGTCTGATTGGTGGACTGACAGCGAGGCATGCAGTACCCGTAACACAGAGGGAGTCCTGTTGTGTGCATGATCGCAAATACATCTGACTGTATTTCATATCTATAGCTTTCTTTTCTATCGCTGTAACGCTACTTAAAGAACGATACGACAAGTGACATCAACAGGAGCTGGACTGTCTTTGAGGCCTTGTGCCTTAATAAGAGTGTTTTATGGAGCGAATCCTTTTAGCACAACATATATTCTACACATATAACCCTTCTTTCTTTCTGCATGAATAAAAGACTCAAGCATTCAAACAAGCTGGTCTGTCATACATCTATCCATACATCTTTCCATGTTGAACCTCAAACAGCTCCAACTATATGAGTGAATACTATTTCACACTTTGCATGTTTTGAGTAATTAATAGAAGTTTTAAACCACAGAATAACATGTGGGATGTGTAACTCACCTTTCAGGTCAAGATTTGTGTCATCAACCGGGAAAAAAAGAAAAGAAGTAGCATGAATGCTACATCATCCTCAATGTATATAGAGCTTCCTGTTTGCAAGAGTGTGTCAGCACAAGACGCCAGCCTCCGGTTCTGTGAGATAAATGCTGAAATGCCTTTAACCTTTAACCTTCGTGGGGAGAACACTGTGTTGCAGAGCCGGCTGATGTTGGCCCTGTGCTCTTGTTGCTGCAGGTTGCCATGTGGATATAAAACATATCAAATTAATACTAACTAATTTCATTCACTAAAAATTGGAGCGCAGAGCTCCTCCATCAATCAATTAATTTATTTGTTTCGTGAAAATCGTACAAGGTGAAGTTCAATTAAATGTATTTGTATGTGTGTGTGTGGCCAAAATCACAAATTTTCCTCGGAGGGCTTTACAATGTACAACATCCTGTGTGGATGCATGCTTCAGTTCAACAGAAAGAGACCAAATGTGAAAATAGTATTCCCAAAGACTGAATGATCACACGGGTGGTGTGAAGGTTTTGTGCTTGAAGCCCCCTACAATCATTCGATAAGCCCCGCCTCTTTACTCACTGCTGCGTGAATCTGCTATCCACGGAAAATGATCTCAGAAATGAATCCGTAACTTGAGTTGGTGCAAGTTAAGTTTATTTTATGTGAATCATCAGTTGTAGAAATCACGAGTAATCACTTTTTTTTCACCAAACACTGTAAAGAAGAGCAGCTTTCATTCCTGCAACAACACAGCAGGTGGTGCTCACATGTCAGTCTTGTTTCTTTCTCTGGTTAAATGTAATGCAGTT